CAGCCACATACACCAGAGCTGGTGGGTTCAAACCCGGCCCGGGCCTGCCAAACAATGACAACTCCAACCAAAAAATAGCTGGGTGTTGTGGTGGGTGCCTGTAGTCCCAACTACTTGAGAGGCTGAGGCAAGAGAATTGCTTAAGCCCAAGAGTTTGAGGTTGCTGTGAGCTGTGATGCCATGGCACTCTACCCAGAGTGATGTAGTGAGACTCTTGTCTCAAAAAAAAAAAAAGCATAAAAGATTCTAATAGACATTTCGCCAAAGAAGATATGTGGGTGAGAAATTAAGTAATGAAAAAAGTTGCTCAAGATCACTGGGCATTAGGAAAACAAAAATTGAAATCACAACATGACACCACTATACAAATATTAGTGCAGCTAAAATTTAAAAGGATGACCAGAGCGGCACCTGTGGCTCAGTGGGTAGGGCACCAGCCCCATATACCAAGGGTGGTGGGTTTGAACCTGGCCCCAGCCAAACTGTAACAACAACAACAAAAATAGCTGAGCGTTCTGGTGGGTGCCTGTAGTCCCAGCTACTTGGAGGCTGAGGCAAGAGAATCTCCTAAACCCAGAAGTTAGAGGTTGCTGTGAGTTGTGACGCTTTACTGAGGGCAATGAAGTGAGACTCTGCCTCTGAAAAAATAAATAAATAAATAAAAAGGATGACCGAACTAGGCAAAGTTAATGTTTGTCATCCTAGCACTTTGGGAGGTCATGTCAAGAGGATCACCTGAGACCAGGAGTTTGAGACCAGACTGAGCAACTCAGCAAGACCCTGTCTATACAAAAAAACAGAAAAATAAGCTAGGCGTGGTGGTTCACACATATAGTCCCAGCTACTCAGGACGCTGAGCCAGCAGGATTACTTGAGCCCAGGAATTTGATGTTGCAGTGAGCTATGATGATGCCACTGTACTCTAGCCTGGGCAACACATGAAACACTATCTAAAAGTAAATAAATAAAAAATGCTAACCATACCAAGTGCTGGCAAGAAAATGGAAGAACTGTAATTCTCATAAAGTGGTATCACTACTTTTGAAAACAGTGCAGCAGTTTCTCAAATATTCAAATATATATTTAATATATGATCTCCTCGGCCCACTCCAGATATTTTCCTAAGATAAATGAAAGTCTATGTCTCTACAAAGACTTTCACATGAATGTTTGTAGCAGCTTTATTTGTAATAGCCAAACACTGAGAATAACTCAGTGTGCATCTACAAGTAAATTGGTAAATAAATTGTGGTACATCTATACAATGGAATACTACTCAATGATTAAAAAAAAACAAGTACCGACACATGCCATGACATGGCTGAATTTCAAAATAATTATGCTATATGAATAAAGGTAAATAAAATATCAGGTATGATTCCATTCATACAGAATTCTAGTAAATGAAAACTAATCTGTAGTGACAGAGAGATGATCAGTGGTTAACTGGGCAAAGGGTGGAGAATGGTATTACAGAGGGATTGATTTTGGAGATGACAATTATTTTGATTGTATAATGATTTCACAACATACGTTTCATATTATCAAATTTTATGCTTTAAATATTTGCTGTTAATGTATACCAATTATACTTCAATAAAACTGTTTAAGTTATAAAAGTTGACACTTAAGATGGGTGCATTTTTATATTATGCAAATTACATGTACCTATATATGATTAAGAAAATACATTTGTCCTATGATTCATAATTCCACTTCTATATATTCCCAAGAGAAATGAAAACCCAAAATAAATGAAAACATGAACACAAAAATAATTGTACAAGAATGTTCAAATCAGCTGGCATCATCCGCTTTGGGAATAAATACAGACAATGCTTGATCTCAGAACCCGTGCATTTGCAGTTTATTCTGCTTGGAATGCTCTTCCTCAATATTCACATGGCCTGAGACCTTACTTCGTCTCTGTTCAAAGGTTGTCACCTCAGAATGGCCTTTCCCAATCTTATCTAAATGCCCTACCAGTTCCCCAACTTTCTGTTTCCTTACCCTACCTAATTTTCTTCACAACACATATCAAAACCTGGTATTACCTGTTTACTTATTTACTATGTTTCTCTTACTATGATATCAACATCTCTGTGACAATAGGAATGTATACCAATAGTGCCTAGACTCTGGCACAGCGCCTGGCTTAGGTTAGATAAATAGGAAATACTTGTTGGGTTAAACAATTTTGGGCAATGGAAAAATGAATATTAATCTAAATGTAAAAGGGGACCTGGTATAATGGTTGTCAAAGGGGAAGAAAGCAAGCAATTCTTTTTTGATATGGGAGGGGAATATGAGAACAGGGAAACAGGAAAATGGTTGGGTAAAGTTCCTTTGGTAGCTCATGTTGAGAGAACCTTAATGTCTCCCAGGTTTCAGGCCCCTTCTCCACAGGCCCTAGGCCTTTGAATGGAGCTTCCCAAACAACATCTCAGGATGTACCTCCTCCTAGCCTCAGTGGACCATAACTTGTGATGGCATTCCCCTGCCTGATTTGTCATCACTCACCTGTGTACCAACTCCTTGTCCCTTCCCTCATTACCACCCAGGGCTCTTTGTCTTGCTCCAATAAGGTAATCACATCTGGCTTAGGAATGGTATATCCTGCTTGTGAGAAAAGATAAAACACATTATAGAAAAAACTGAAAACACACCCTAAACAAACATAACCTCAAAATGACTTAATTCAGATTTGGTTACATTTATAATAAACCTCAAAATGACTTAATTCAGACTTGGTTACATTTATAATAAACTATAGGTCAAAACAGTGCCTGACAAAGCCTTCACAGTAAAGAAGACCATTGAAGAATATTCACACTAAGATGGGCTCATGGTTATAGGTCTATAGAGACTAGATAAGAAAGGGAAAAGGTCTGCTTTGCTTTTAAAGGCAGTATAGAGAGGGGCTGCAAGCACATACTCTGGAGCCCTATGGCCTGGAGTCAAATCTTCTGTCACCTACCAGCTGTATGACCTTGAAAAGTTACTTACCCTCCGTGCATTGCACTTTTATCTTTTTTTTTTTGAGACAGAGTCTAACCATGTCACCCTCAGTAGAGTGCTATCGCGTCACAGCTCACAGCAACCTCAAACTCTTGGACTTAGGCGATTCTCTTGCCTCAGCCTCCCAAGTAGCTGGGACTACAGGCACCCACCACAATGCCCGGCTATTTTTTTGTTGCAGTTGTCGTTTTTTAGCTGGCCTGGGCCGGGTTCGAACCCGCCACCCTTGGTGTATGTGGGTGGTGCCATAACACTACTACGAGCACTGAGCCACGTTGCACTTTTATCAAATGCAAAATGAGACTAATATTACCTACTTTATAGGGTTATTGTGAGAATTAAATGAATTAATATCTGTAAAGGCTTAAAAGGATGTCTAGTATATAGTATAGTTTTGTTGTAGATGTTACTATTTTGCTAGGAGAAATCTAAATTTCCTAAAACACTTTCATGTTCTTCCTGAGATATTCCTTCAATAGAAAATGCAAAATTCACAGACTATAACTTTCAACCACAAAGCAAGCTAAAGAGCTTGTCTCTTCTAGTATGAAGTGTGTCTACTTAAATTTTAAATGAATATTTGTTAACTCAATCTATCACTATATGTAATTCATAGAGGCTCTTTTGATAACTAAAGAAAACCAGAACCCTGAGACTAGCTCTTCTCTCTTAGGTGGGCCAGACATTAACAGAAGCAGCTACAGGAATACAGGAATGCTGAGTATATACATTATAGGAAATCCAGTTTCTCTTAAAATGTTGCATGATTCAAATATGAGAATCATTTAGAAAAACAGGCAGTAACAGGCAGGGCCAGAGAGAAGAGTGAATGCCATTGAAAGATGAGGAAGATGAAGGTGCTTAACTCAGGAGCCCATTTCCACCCTAACAATGTTTAAACCATTTCTTTAGAAAAAAGGGCCAGAAATTCAGTTGGCTTCTTAAAACAGAGTTCCGAAATTCAACAGTGCAGAAAGCTGATATTCCAGAAAACACCCTGTAAAATCTCTGGGCATCTGCCTTACCCAGTGAGATCAGGTTGTTATAGTTCTCCAACATCACATCCTTGTATAAGTCCCTCTGTGCAGGGTCCAGGCATTCCCACTCCTCTTGGGAAAGGTCTATGGCCACATCCCTGAATGCCAAGGATACCTGAAATGACAAATTTACACATTATAAACAAAAATTTGTACATGTTTTCAAGATGGAAAACTGCTTTGCAGAAAAGCAATATAGCAAGCAAGTAAACTGGGGCTCAGGCCTACAACATGTATGGGAGAATAAGGAAACTAATGTTTACAAAGTAGAGGGCTTATATGTTTTTGATGTAAATTAAACAAAATAGCATAAATAAGCACACTGCCTATTATATACCTGAATCTTAAGTTCTGAATAAATGTGAGTTCCATCATCCCCTCTTCTCATCAATGGAATTTTTTTCTTTCTTTTTTTTTTTTAGTTTTGAAAGTTTTTTGTAGTGTTTTTTTTTTTTTTTTTGGCCGGGGCTGGGTTTGAACACGCCACCTCTGGCATATGGGGCCAGCGCCCTACCCTTTTGAGCCACAGGCACTGCCCTGAAAAGGAATTTTTTAAAAAGAATTTTTAAAATTTTCCCAAAGAAGAGAATTTTCCCAAAGTACTCTAAAATGTCTATTTTAGAGAATAGGACTTGTTGACATCATGTGATTTCATTGAAACTCCGATTCATATCATGCAAACTCACATCCATTTTTAGGATATATCAGAAGTTTTAGGCACTTAGGTGTGACAAAATGTTAAGGTCTTCCCTGATCCTGGGAGCCTATTTTTATTCATCATCAGGGATCTAGAGGATCTTCCTACCTATTCCCCCTACTGCCCCTCTGACGGTTGCCTTATTCCTAAGCTAGAGGAAACTGATGTAGAATGATCCATAATGACACTAATGTCACCGGAAACCAGCACAACCTCCTCAACCACAAAATTGAATTTTTGTCCTATTGTTCACCCCCCAGGGATCCCCTGGTACAGGCCCAATCACACTCACACCTAGTTCTCTAAGCCTCTCAATGCATGATAGCTCACCTCTTCTTCTGAGGCTGACATGGAAGACAGTGCTAGCGTCACCTGAGTTGGGAAAACACTCAACACCAAATTCCACCCTATCACCTTCAAACTCAGGTCTGGGGAGTCACTGGGACTATCATCTTTATGCCATCTTTATGCAGACCATGCCTCTGATGATAGATGCTCAGATATTTCCCTTGAGATACTTTACCTTTTAGTGCTCCATCAATGCTCCTGAGAAAAGATGAGGCAGATAGATGCATGATGAATAGGTGAGTACAGGTAAGAGAAAAGCGGTTCAAATGCGGAGGACACAAGGCTGCCTGGCAGCATCCTTAATTGTGGTTGGAGTAATTGGAAAGCAAGTTCACCAACAGGAGTGGCTTAGGAAGGAAGTCTCAGGATAATAAAAATGACCACATAAATTTAAAAACATAGTATTTCAAAGAACAAAATTACAAACTTACATGAGCCATGGCTTTAGAACTGCATGAACTTGTCAGTTCTCCTTGGGCTGCCTCCATTGGAAAAGCATAGCATCCAGCGAAGTCAGGGCTGGGGGAGGAACAAGTAACTTTGAGACCAGGTGTGTCTCAGAATTCTCAAAATGACTTAAGTTAATATGATCCTGTTTTTCCTTCATTTCTACTATAACCCCATACAAATTGGTGGAGACAATGGAGTATGGACAAAGCCAAGTCTTCCCTCTACTATGAGGAACCACCCATGTCAGTGTCGAAACAGAGCAGAGGCCTCCTGCATGGAGCTAGACCAGGCACTCCAGCAGAAGGCTCTCTGGATCACCCCCTCTCTGATGATGCTGATCTGTGGCTGAGCCTCAATTGTTAAGTCCTTCCCTGAGCAGATCCTCTTCTGTCTGTGCCAACTTTAGAGTTGAGAAGGGGCCATCCCATCCAAACCTGAACATCATCCATGGCTTAGGAATATGCCTGGACTCCCTGAGATGTGAAGGAAGAAAACAGCAGGCAGCCTTTTCTCCTGCAAAACTGTACTTCCCAGAATAAACTCCCCCTCCCCCAGAACTCTGTTTCCAACCCACCTCTATCTTCTAATCAGGATCATCTAAACTCTCTCCAGCCTGAAGTCTCTGATTACCATAGTATCTCAAAATCAAGGCTGGAGAGGTGTGAATTAATGCTATGGTTGCCAGGTGACAACAACAAAAATAGATTATTTTAGGATCTTTCACACGAAGAGTGCTTTGTCATACTAACATTTAATCATGTGACATAAGTAACCCCATTCAACAGAAAAGATAATGGAGGCTCATGGTAAAGTCCCTTGCCTAAATTCACAATTAGTAAGAGGCAGAGCTGTGTTTTGAATCTACATTTCTCTAAACATGAAGCCAATTCTCTTTCAACTCTGGCTTTTGCCTCTGAAGCCTAGGATTTCTTCCAGTGAAACCTGAGCAATTCACTAAAAATAGGAACATATCATCTACCAAAGGGGATACTTGTTAAAGAAAAATCAGCTTATAGTTATTAGACCGGTAGATTTAAAAGACTAATGATATACCACATAAGCAGCAACATGAGGAAATAGATACTTTGTAGATGCTATAGCTTTGTACAACCTTAGAACATGGTATGTGGAAGTATGAGAAACCTACTTCTGGGACTGCCTAAAGCAAATGACTGTAAACGTGTGAAATAAGCACATCCAGTGATAGCAGAGTTCAGCAATCTGAATCCAGCAACAGGTGACTTGTTAAGTAAATTATAGATCATCTATGTAAAAGAATATTAAGTAGATATTAAATACTGTGCTAAGTTGAAGAAAATAATTTAAAGGATGTGGAAAGTATCCAGGACATACTGTAAATAGAAAGATTATGTTAGAAATCAGAACATAGAAAGTGATTACATTTTTAAAAAAATATACATACACACAAAAGAAAAAATACATACATACACACAGGCCAAAAAAATATGTGTTTGTTTCATTTTATAAGAGAAAGCCCTTCCCTTTTAAAAGTCTTCTCTTGAACTTGGAGGAAAAGCATAAGATAATCTAAAAACTTTAAGAAATATACAAAGTAGGCTCGGCGCCTATAGCTCAACCGGCTAAGGCGCCAGCCACGTACACCTAAGGTGGCGGGTTCAAATCCCCAGCCCGGACCCGCCAAACAACAATGACGGCTGCAACCAAAAAATAGCCGGGCGTTGTGGCGGGCGCCTGTGGTCCCAGCTACTTGGGAGGTGGAGGCAGGAGACTCGCTTGAGCCCAGGAGTTGGAGGTTGCTGTGAGCTGTAATGCCATGGCACTCTACCCAGGGGGACAGCTTGAGGCTCTGTCTCAAAAAAAAAAAAAAGAAATATACAAAGTACACTAAAGGAATAACCTTGAAAGAGACTATGTAACAGATAATACTAGCACTCGGCCTTCCAGAGTGCTAGTAAAAAATATATATATATATATTTTTAGACAGTCTCACTATGTCACCCTCGTGCTGTGGTGTCACAGCTCACAGCAACCTCAAACTCTTGGACTTAAGCAATTCTCTTACCTCAGCCTCCACAGTAGCTGGGACTACAACCACCTGCCACAAATGCCCAGCTACTTTTTGTTGCAGTTGTCATTGTTGTTTTAGCTGGCCTGGGCTGGGTTTGAACTCATTAACTTTGGTGTATGTGGCTGGTGCCGTAACCACTGTGCTATGGGCACTGAGCCTAAAATATAATTTTATATAATTTTTTAACATATTAAAAACAAATTGGTTTGAATGTGAAGACTGTAAGGAGATCAATATGACCCTTATACATAATGCTTACCAGTTCATTCATCTTCAATTCAACAAGGCCTTTCCTCTATTAAGATTATTCTTTAATTGATCACAAATCAGGGGAGTAGCATCTGCAGTCTAAATAAGAAAATTTGTCCAGGCCGGGTGTAGCAGCTCATAGCAGAGTCTGAAGCAGGTGGATTGCTTGAGTCAGGAGTTCAAGACCAGCCTGAGCAACAGTGAGACCCCATATCTAAAACTAGCTGAGCATTGCCGGGGGGGTGCCTGTAGTCCCAGCTACTTGGGAGACTGAGGCAAGAGGATCACTTGTGCCCAAGAGTTTGAGGTTGCTGTGAGCTCTGATGCTACGATACTTTACCAAGAATGACAGAGTGAGGCTCTGTCTCAAAAAGAAAAAAATAAAGAAAAGAAAATTTGTCCATAGTAGACAGAACAATGGTTTTCCTCTATTTATCCGCTGAATAATCAACAGAAGTTATCATTTCAGATGTAATGCTTGTATATCTTTAAATTCCAATGTTAGTAACTGAGATTCATATAAAATTTAAAATTTGAATATTATTATTCCTCACTATATTACTTTACCTTGTAACTTCTTTCTGGGAAACTTCATCCTACAGCTCAATATTTGACTTCCCTCATATGTACTTTTTTTTCTTGTGACTAACTCCTTATAAACATAAATTTCAACTCATTGATTCTCTGGAAAATTCCCTGCTCAGATTCACACAGATTTCCATCCTCAAGACTTCTAATCACATTCCCAATCCTAAAATCCTTGCAAAGCAGATGATGTTACCACTTACTGACACCAGTCAAAACATCTCTGATTCTATCATACTTTTAAAATAAGGTCTTTGAAGAATATCAATAATGTTTTTCTACCTAAACTTTAATCTTTTTTATTTTTTTTTGAGACAGAGCCTCAAGCTGTCCCCCTGGGTAGAGTACCATGGCATCACAGCTCACAGCAACTTCCAACTCCTGGGCTCAAGCGAGTCTCCTGCCTCTGCCTCCCAAGTAGCTGGGACCATAGGTGCCTGCCACAACGCCTGGCTATTTTTTGGTTGCAGCCGTCATTGTTTGGCGGCGGGGCTGGATTCGAACCTGCCACCCTAGGTGTATGTGGCTGGCACCTTAGCCACTTGAGCCACAGGTGCCGAGCCCTAAACTTTAATCTTAATAAAACAAAGTTTTAACTTTAGACTTCAGGATATTCATTTCTTTACCATTATAAAACATGACAGCAGAAGATTGAACAAGAGGAGAAGGGCATTTATTTGGAGGCCATCCGCATGGTCCATCATTCACTGCAAAGGCAGGCCTGTGATAGGTCGCTGGACATTTCAGAAAAAGAAAAGCAAATGTTTCCATGTAGTAAGAACAAATATGTATTTTAGGAACAAAGATAAAAAATACATTCACCTGGACGTGGACTTTTAGACGTGGTACACAATTTTTCCCTCCTCAGTATCCTTCTTTGACGAAAGGCAGGGTTGGGGAAGAAGGAAATCATGAAACAGCAGGCCTTTCTTAGGATACAGAGCAATCTAGAAAATCCCCGCCAGGGCCACATCTACCCTGATGTCACACACATAACCAGATGTGAGAGGGAGGCTGGAAACTCCAAATTCATAGCGGATTTCTAGGATCAGATGGGAACGCTGTGGTTCTGAAATGTGGCTGCCCGCACAGCGCCTCCAAGTGGGGACCCTTCCATCACGTCATTACAAGATTCTGTTTCAGGGACATGTCTAACTCAAAAGTCCAATCTCAAACCCAGGTCTGTGCCTTCTTGCCGAAAACCTTCATCCTAGAGCTCAATATTTTACTTTCCCCTTGGGGACACTGCTTTGTGTAGATATCAGGGACCATGACCGCTGAGGGTCGGCGACACCAAAGCCTCAGGCACAAATCTCAGCCTCACACTACAGCCACCGTCATGGAGGCCCAACCTGGCCCTGACAGGCGCACTGTCGCGCGCGTACACACACATACACAGTCTGTCACACTGGGTCACACAATCCCCCTCCTCTGCTCCTCACGCACTCACAGGCCTAGGCTCCCTCAGGACACGACGGGCCAAGTCCGAGCCTCGGTGCACTTCACTTTGGGCTGCAACCTCATCCTCCTCAATCCAACACCCAAGAGTCCCACCCTCTCTCCCCTAGACCCGACTTCTCTCCAGGCTACGACTAACTCACCCATGGGTGGCTGGACCAGCAGGAACGCATCAGAAGAGGCCCTCGGGGTCCGGGCGCGCTCTGCCCGTGGGGCTTCTGGGAAATGTAGTCCATTCTTGGGCCGCTGGTTCGCTTGGCGCAGGCGCGCGCGGACTCGCGTCTCTGGAGACAGCGCGGGAAGCTGAGGAGAATTTATGCCCCGGGACTGTGTTGGAGGTTCCAGCGTCGCCAGATCGCTTGAAGTCCCCAACCTTCAAGTACATCCGCGGGTGAGACCCTGAGCTGAGGGAGTGGTGGGCCGGGTGCTGGCTCTGCAAGGCAGAATTTTGAGTGTCTTTCTTGGAGGGAGTCCCTGAGCTTGATACGCGGCAGGGGCTCAGTGTGTGTATTTTAAAGAGCAGGTGTGCCTGACTGTGAGCGTGTGTGTCACTGTGAAGGTGCAGGACTGAGCCTCTCTGGCTGTGACAGGCCGTGTTGCTGTGTGTGTGTTGTCATTCTTTGGGCGAGAGTCGGATTGTGGTGAACGAAGTGGCATCCGACTATAGGGAGAAAGCCCTGTACAGTAAGGAGACTCAGTGAGATTTTGTGACTGTAAGCGAAGACGTGATGGGCCATGTGCTAGGTCGTCGCTGTGCTTGACTGTAAGAGTGCGGTGATACGTGAGCGATGGTGTGGGTGTGGGGGTCACTGTGACTGGAATTGTTGGGTGACTGGGTGCAAGCAAAGCTGTGTGAAGATGAATATGTGTGATTTTGAATATCTGATCAGTGGAGTGGTGATGGTGTGCACATATGATTGTGTGCAACCGGAGGCCTGTACTTAGGTGGAATAAAGACAATATGTTGCATCTTCTTGGAGTTTTATGTAAAGATTTGGACTGAAGAGTTGCAATTTATGTGCCAAATAATGTCTTTTTATATTGAGTCAAATGAGTGTTTTCATAGAGAAAAATTCAAATGATAGTAACTTTTTAAAAAATATAAAGAATAATTCCCACTCTTCTGTACTGTTAAGGAGTCTTTAGCAAATCAGTTTGAAAAGCTTCAATGGTGGAAACAGGTTTATGCTTGGAAAGCACATAAGGCAATCAACTCTTGGCTTCTAAATATATATAATGGAATACTATTCAGACTTTAGAAAGAAGGAAATCTTGTTATTTGTAATAACATTATGTTAAATGAATTAAGTCAGGAATAGAAAGATAAATACTACATGATCTCACTTATACGTGGAATCTAAAAAAGTTGAACTCAGAAGTAGAGACTAGAATTGTGGCTACTGGAGGTAGGGGTAGTGGTTGGAGAGATTTTGGTCAAAGTATATAAATTTGTTTGGTAGGAGGAATTTAAAAAATGTGTCTAAATTTGAGTCAATTCTGAGTGAGGCTAGAATATCCAGAGGAAAAGTAACTTAGCAGAAGTGTGACAAAGACACAGGGGCAATAAGGAGAATAATATGCCAACAAACCGCTCTTGCACCAAGCACTAACTGGGATATTCAGATAGACCCTGAAGGTCAGACCCTATTTAAGATGTGGTTAGAGTTTTATGAGTATCATGTACAAGTAAATATGTGTCTAGGTATGTGTACAGTATTTAAACAAATTACATATGATCTAGAGATTCTGCTATTATTCAGACAACATGAATGCATGAAGAAAGTGGGCCAACAAAAAAGCCTATCTCTTCCTTTGTGAGTTATGTAGGAGGATGCATAACAAAGGGCACAGAGAAGGCCATGTCCTGTAAGGGACAGTGTAAGAACAAACACAGCAAAGTCTAAATGCCTCAGAAGTGAAGACAAAATGCACCCTGGAACAGCCAATCAGATCTGACTCCTGCTACCTCTAGGCCTTCTTTAGTCAGATGTGGAAAAGCACAGGGCCATTGATTGCCAGATAGAACACAATCACATAACAAAGATGATCCTACAGAAGCGTTTTTGTACATCTGGTTGAAGTGGACAACTGAGTAGTGAAAAAAAACAGTGGTGGGGTCACCCCTGCCCCCCCACCCTACTGGTAACCATTTTATTGCCTGTCATGTCCTCATAGCCCTTGCTAGGCATTCACCTCTGAAGGGTGCATGGGGATGGGAGTATTCATTTTTTAATTTTTTTTAGAGACAGAGTCTCACTTTTTCACCCTCGGTAGAGTGCTGTGCCATCACAGCTCACAGCAAACCCCAGCTCTTGGGCTTAGACGATTAGCCCAGCCTCCCAAGTAGCTGGGACTACAGGCACCCACCACAATGCCCAGCTATTTTTTTTTTTTTCAGTTTAGCTGGGGCCGGGTTTGAGACTGCCACCTTCAGTATATGGGGCCAGTACCCTACCCACTGAGCCACAGGCACTGCCTGGGAATGGAAGTATTCTGGGTGGTGATGTAAGGGAAGTCCCAGTGAACAGTGTTCTGTATGGAGCCAGTTATTACTCCAAATTTCATCTTCTCATGAGCTACCACCAGGTGGTTTCTAATCTCAGAGCTTCTGTATAACACACTTGTCCCCTTATTCAGACAGAATATGCCATGGCTACAGAGGTTCCAGGAGTAAGGCTTTTTATTTCTTTCTGCTTCTGTCTTGGTGGGTTGTATGTTCCTAGAAATTTATCTATTTCTTCTGTTATCTAATTTGTTAGTATGCAATTGTTCATAATAGTCATCTATTACAATGTCTCCTCTTTAATATTTGATTTTTAAAATTTGAGTCTTCTATGTTCTTTTTCTTAGTGTAGCTAGGAGTTTTGTTGATTTTGTTTATCTTTCTAAAAAATGAACTTTTTTTTTGAGACAAGAGTCTCACTTTGTCACCCTGTGCTGTGGCATCATAGCTCACAGCAACCTCAAATTCTTGGACTCAAGTGATTTTCTTGCCTCAGCCTCCCCAAGTAGCTGAGATTACAGGCACCTGCCACAATGCCCAGCTATTTTTAGAGATGGGGTCTCATTCTGGATCAGACTGGTCTCAAACTCCTGAGTTTAAGTAATCCACCTGCCTTGGCCTTCCAGAGTGCTAGGATTACAGGTGTGAGCCACTGTGCCTGGCACAAACTCTTATTTCTGTTGATTTTTTCCTATGGTTTTAAAATTTTCTATTGTTTATTTCTGCTCTCATTTTTATTACTTCCTTCCTTCTGTTAGGCTTTGCTTTTAGTTTGTTCTTTTTTTTCTAGTTCCTTGAGTTATAAAGTGCAGTTGTTTGAGATCCTTCTTTCTAATGTATTTATTGCTATAACTTCCCTCTTAGTATTGCTTTTGCTAAACTTCTGAAAAGAAATTAAATGGATTCATTTTTATCTATTTATTGAGTAAACCAATTGTGGGTAAAGAGAAAAGAGCACAGGTTTTGGAACAGAGATACCTGGGAGGTGGGAGAAGCCCAAGCCCGAGTGGAATAGTGGGAGAAAAAGGAAAGGTCATTTGTAAAACTCATGCTCTTGCTCGTCCTTCTTGATGACGGTCTTGTATGCTTTCTCGAAGTCCTTGGCCAGGACAATGTAGCGGTTCTCACGGACAGCCAACATCCCGCTCTGTTGAAGGATAAAAGATTGAGAGTTAAAATCTACTCCCGGTATTCTCCACCTGCGGTGATGATGGCAGAAGAGAAAGATGGGGCCCAGGACCCAGGAGGCAAGAGGGGACAGAGGACTGCAGCAGCGCAGTCTCAGAGAAGAGGAAAGGTCTTCCTACACCCTCTACCCAGATGCAGAGAGAAACCATCCCTCACCTCCTGACAAATAGAGTTGATATCAGCTCCTGAAATCTTATCTGGTCGTGCCACATCTGCAGCAAGTGAGTTAAGGAAACCATTCCCTGCCTGATGAAGTGAATGGCTGGAGCCAGAAGACATCCCTTAGCCGTCTTTGTTACCACCCTCCTCCCTGGACCTTGGTCCCCATCTGCACAATTTGGGCTATGGTGATATGCCAGAGGTGGAGGTGAAGATCAATCTCTATTTCCAAATGTGGTCCCCTCTATCACTAGAGAACAGGATACAGTCTTCCAAGTCAACCTCCTCGGAAAGGTTCATCTTGCTGGTGATAGTGGAAAAAATTAATCTTTTCTGACGGCGATCAGGGAGGGGAAATTCTATTTTACGGTCGAGGCGTCCAGGCCGCAGCAGGGCTGGATCTAGGGTGTCTGCTCTGTTTGTGGCCATGATCACCTGTCATTGGAAGCAGGCCAGCTCAGACCTCTATTCCCCCCACCTCCTCCTCTCATCATAATACCCCACCTCATGTGCCAGCCTCCACCTTTCCTTGCTTCTTAGATCCCTCTTCCCCTTGCCCATCCAGAA